TTGTTTATACATGTATTTGCGCATATATATGCATTTTTGCTTGTTGAAATATAAGCAACATCAGTATTGTTTGAGAGGTATTTCTTGTGTCTTTTTTTGTAGAATTATGTCTTTGTTCCGCCCATTCCCTCAATTTTAATTTTTTCTTTCGCCGATTACGAAAAAATGCATTTTTAATAAAAAAATTTGAATACACTGCAAAAAAATTTTCGAATTTTTGCGAAGAATATAACTTACAAAATACTATTGTATATTAGTAATGCATACCATTTTGTAACTGGTGAAAATTTTCATTATACACGTTACACATTTTCCCGTACGCTAATAGCGCATGATAACCGCAACGATAATCTGTAATGCCAAATTGATTAATTGTCGCTGTACGCATATTGTGGTTAGCATATGCCATCAAATTCGCCCCGTTTATGGTAACCCAACATTTCATCTAAAAGCAGCATCAGAATAAGAGCATAGATATATCACTCTTCAAAAGTTATAGGAGTTTTATAATTACTTACAAGTATTACTTACAGAAGATGTCATGTTTCTTTTTTTTTCTTTCTTTTTCCTCGAGCTTGTATGTACACAAAATTACACATTTGTAAATATAAATTGTTGAGAAATGTTTGATTAAATTTTCTTTTTTTCTTGTCCATATGTGTCCTGTATTCGAAGAATTTAAATATTTTGAATTCTTAATGTAATTCTGAAATTGTTTTGCTAGTATAAAATTGGTACATCCAAAACTTATAAATTGAGCGGTAAATCCTAGTCAAACGGGGTAATTGTATGAGCGTCATATTATCATTCGTTATAATTTCATTAATAACGTCGTTATAGTGTCGTATAGCATCTTCGTTAACGAAGTTTCGGGAAGCCGTGCGGCAAAATTCTTACCCATGACAAGGACATCTTAAACATTTTAGTCTGTAAATGAGCAAACTTCTTAGACAGCATCACACGAAGAAGAGCATCGTTATATTCTCACATCAATAATACACTCACACCAATGCTTTTTGAAAACAAAATATCCTCCTTATAATATTGAAATCAAAATTGATGTCGTATTTTGTGAATTATTATTTAGGGTACATATTTTTTAATTTTTTGTGTATCATACAATGCAATTTCTTTTATAAGAAAAATGTATTTATCTTATTTTATCAATATATTACACGTTTTACGATAAGATGAATAATAAAGATATTTATGGTATTTTTAAAAGTAAATAAAAATTTTATTTTATAAAATATACAATTTAGAAAAATAGATCATAGATTTATAGATAATTAAATATTCCTGAATTTTACATAGAAATAATACATTTTTATTTATTGTAATGTTGAGCTCTAATATTATATTATTATACAAATAACTTATATTATTTAACATAAGCAAAATTTTTATAATAATTTCAAAATCATTATAATCAATAAATTATTTCTTAATTCAAATGGTTAAAATTCTTATTTTACATACATGAACAAATCCTTCTTGCTTACTTCAAAAAGAAAAGAAAAAAAGCAGTAGCTGGAAGGTATTAAGAGATATTCAAAACACGCAAAGAGGATCTAGATGCTTCTTGTCCCATGTAGATCCTCTTTGTATTTATGATAAAAATCATTCGCTACAATCCACGTTATTCTCATCCCGTATTAGTCTCGGATTCGCATGAGTCATATAATCCTATACGGATTGTCCTGTATCTATAGATTGTTTTCAGGCGATATATATAAGAATCAGATACAACTTTGATATTTTAATAATATGATAAAGTATAAGAATTATATTAAAATATAAGTATATAATACATATATAAATAATATTAATATAAATAAAAATTTATTTGTCGCAAAAGAGAGATGCCATAGGTATTGTCTAATCAAATTTATGTTATTTATTGTTATATATGTTTTATTAATTGGGCTTAATTAAGATAAATATAATATAAATAAAATATAAATATAAATATGTATATATGTATATATTATTATAAGTTACAAATTGTAATATTAGTAAAATAGTTAAGAAGTATTTTTTAGCACTATCTGATATATTTAGGTCTTACGACATTAGCAATATTTCAAATAATTTGTGTTTTACACATTTTTGATATAATGTTAAAAGATATTTTTATATTTAACTTTAATTCTTTTTTATATTCAAAATTTATGCAGTACAAATTAAGTCTGTAACTACAAAAAACTTATATTTTATAATTAAGTCTTACTGTTAAATAATAATAAAACATTTAAAAATAAAATGGTAAAATAATATTGTTCTATAAATAATTGACCCCGATTCGAAATTATCGATTAGGAGGACCAAATCGCATAACCTGTGATATTGATGGCTTTTTAGTCATTTGCATGGCATTTAGCACTTCACATATATGGTAGAAAATTGTCCTCTTTATGTCAACGATATCTCTTGTATGAGCATAATTATTTTCTATAATTATAATTCTGAATAATAAATACATAATTACATATTGTTTTATTTCGAGAGCAATTTTTTATCTTCTTGTTAATAAATAATTGTTATTTAATTAATCTGAAGATTTTCCTAATATTTGTAGCGTATTTTACAAATTGTAAGAATTAATAAACGTACGCGCCTATATATTTTGTTTGTTTATTTCAATTTTGTTTGTAAATTTGAATTATTTTTGGATAATGAATTTTACTGAACAAAAGATGGAGTAACTATATATTCATTAAACTTTTATATACTCTTTCGACACAACAATATTTTCCTTGAATATTTATTTTAAATATTTCATTTTATGATTTAAATTTTAAATCGTACAAAAAATGATGCAATATCTTATATAATTAATATAATTTCTTTATTAAACTAACAAAAATATCTCTTAGATAGATGAATCAACTAAGAAACACATTGTAAGAGAACATTATTTTTTATCTAATTAAATTAAATTGTAAAATATTGTGATTCGTATTCACACTTCACTTTTAATAATAAATATTTAATAGTAACATTACATATACTACAGAATCTCAGAAATAAATGCGCTCATTTATCAATGGAAGAGATGTAAATTGGTACGCATCTGTAGGTTAGATCTCAACTTTCTGATATTGAAACTCACGAGCAATGAGCATACATATTATAAACCTGGACATATGCCAAAAGCAGGTTATGACCATAGATAATTTACAACGCTTGATTGATTCAATGTGAATGCATAATATGTTGCATAATTAAATAAACAGATATTGATTGTTTTGTTTGCCATTATGTAATATTTGATTTGAAAATTAGGATTCAAATATTAATATCTTTTGAAGAGAATATCAAAATACGAGGAAACATCAGTTAAGAAATTTAATAAGTGAAATTACTATTTTATATACAATATAATTATATTATTATATACGAAAAGTCATATTATATATGAATCCAGTAAGTACTCGGCATTATCTCACTTATACTTTTTACTTATTATTACTACTCTAAAAAAGTTACGTTTAATTTTCAAAAGTAAGTTAAAATGATTTTAACGTAATTGTTAAAAATTTAAATAATTAATTGAATTGTTTTAATTATATTGTAAAATATATGAAAGATTTCACAATAATATTATGATTACAAATTGTATTTTATTCTTATTATTATAGTAACAAATCATATTTTTTCTTTCTTATTTGGATCGTCTGATATAGAATATTTTATTTTAATTATAAGATAATATAATTTATATATTGTATTGCGTAAGTGTACCAAATGTTTTTCACTTTTTATTTTAACTAATTATTCATCGCTTTTTTAAACATAACAAATAAAAATATTAAAGCTTTTGGTATACTTAATTGTATTTAATTAAAATCGAATTATCACACAAAGAGATATTTTTTTCTTGTTTCAGTCACACAAATAATATTTCTTTTTCATATAACGTAATATTTTTTGATTGAGCCAATAGTTATTCTTGCTTCCAAATTTGTTGCCGATTGAGTATCCTTCTTGTATTTGTGATATGTGTCAGCTGCCATGGCATTGCGTTGGATGATAACCGGATTCATGTGTGTCGTGTAATCCCAAATGGATTCTCTTTCGCGTATAAATTACAGATTACAACTTGAAATAGTATCAGTGGTTTATGCATTTATCTCAGTGGCATATATTGTACATATATTTTTTAAATGTATAACTTCATATTGAAACCTCATTTATTTCCCAATACTATGTATTCTTTAATAAATTACTATCGAAAACATGATTTTAAATTTTAGCTATTTGTGTATGTTAGATTTTAAATTATAACAGATTATAAATTTTCATATAGAATTTGTGAATATTTAATTTTAGTGTAAAATATTAAAGTTTTAGAATATTTTTTATACACGGACACATATGTATATTTTTAATTTGTATATTAATAATTTCATTATTTATTTGCAGCGAACGTTAAGATTTAATGTACCGAATGTTAAGACTTATCCAAGTCCACTGAAAACGTTAAATTCCAATTTATCTTCAATATTATAGGTAATAAGTACAACGGTAGGAATTTCAACCGCATAATCTTATATTTGGAAAACATTTGCCTTTCTTTACGCATCATTACTCTTGGCTATTACAGTTCAGTGAATGTCTTTTACTGAGCATTTTGCTGTATTGATTTTAGTTACCATCTTTCCTAAGGGTATAAAAAATTGATTGCGTTGTAAGTTCTTTTCTTTATTGAATATTTATTACTTTTTTATATTTGTTCTGCATATTTGATAAAAGTAAATGATTTATAGAGTAACTTAAGGCACATAATTATAGAAGATAAAATAATTTACTTATGGCAAGAATTCTATAATTTATTGTTATTAACATTAAAAGTACAAATGTTTTTAAAAGACACATGAAAAAATTTTTATAAGCAATTACATATTTTTAATAATTGTATATTGTATGCATAAGATTTTTTTTAAAAGTCGTTTATAAATTATTTTAATTTATCAAACTTACTAATTTATTAATAAATATCAGAAGGAGCTACAATGTTGATATTTTTCGCGAGGTACAGCGAACCAATAAAGAGTTTTCTTTGATCGTCGACGTTGCCAAGGAGTTTGGATATCATTGATTTTTTGTACAGTATTTGGTTGACCGAGAGTGACATTAAATGACTTTTTCAAAACCGATGACGTGATATGTGGATGTATCTGCATAAAGATCGTTAATTAAAGTTAGTTAAAGTTATTTAAAAATATATCATAACATTATTTATTTAACATATATAATATTTAACTGACTTTAATTAAACCGATTTAGTTAATAATTTAATTGTTCTTTATTGATATTATTGTACGCAATTAAATACGATTAAATTATCATTTAAGTTAGTTTAATTAAAGTTATATATATATATGTGAATAATTAGCGATACTCTAGAATATTTGTAAATAAGAAATTCGCATTTTTCTAATATCTGTGATATTTTACGCACTGATACAGCGAAAATACAGCAGACAGAATAATGCAGAATGCTAGCCATCTCATAGTACATAACTGTGCCTCATACATCATCATCTAAAGCCTCCGGTATTACTCTTATACGCTGTGAGTACGCAATATCCTACCATGTTTTAACTAAGTAAATACTATCGAATGCTTTTACGAGTCGGAAGATTAAAAATTGTAACCGATCGAAAGCGATCACTCGGTTGTCATTAAAATATAATAATTTCTCGTCGTACAGGATTGAAGTAAGACAAGACCCATCAGAAAAATGCATATGTAATTAATTATACAATTATGAACGTCATACATATTGACGTATATCTGTAAATATGTATCTATTGCATAATTTTTGAAACTTTCACTTACATAAATGATTTTTGATCTTTTAAAATTCTGAAGAAATACTTGATCCTTTTTTCTTATAAAACTTGTACAAGTACGTGTATATGAATAAAATAGAACTTTAGTGATAAATATTTCATAAAATATATCGACTATTCATAAATTGAAAGAATCTTACGTGATAATGCAGTGGCCCTGGCCCTTTGACATCCATCTTTTTTTCACGAGGAGCGGAATATATCACGCCATTCTTCACGTTCTTTGATATATCTCCCTTGAGATCGTAGTGTGCTGGACCTGTGCACGCATAGCAATGATAAAAAAGCTTCATAGACGAGTTGATATTTACTTCACTTTATACCTGGTACATGGAAATCGCCTTCCGGTATCATCGGAAACCGACTAGCGCGAGAGCCGAAGGGTGGAGCTAATCGTCGACAAAGGAAATCGCATCTATCACGATTAGCTTTGAAGGCTGATAAAACTTCGTAAGCACCTGAGTCCGGTACATCATCCTATCAAAATTGAAAGATAAATGATTTTTAATTGAAATGAATATTGACACACCATTTGAACTTATTTTAAATATTATAATAATTACGAGATAAAATTTATCGTAAGTATTTGTATTTTTATATTCCGAATCATATTACTCCTGCCTGATAAAAATAGGAAAGAATAGAGGAAAGACATGTTTTCCTTCTCTTTACAATTTAATCATTTAATAGAATAGCCGCTGATTCGGACACAAACCTAAGCGCCGATGTTTCCGGCTATTCGCAATTCGCACTATATAGATAGAGACGACATTGCAGGGATTGGCTCGAATTTCCGGCTCGTTGAGCCGGAAGTGATTTCTCTGGGCAACATCGGCCACGCGCTTCTACGTGGAAATGACCTGCAGAGCGTAGCAAAATGTCATTTCCGGCGTACACAGTCACTATTCTTCCCTACATTATGTAGATACAGCTTCCTCAAAAACATCCAACGAAAAGAGGGATATTCATACCTGTCAACTATCACGAAGTTTGATCATTTGGTAAGAAACTGGCAACGATTAGTAAACAATGTTAATTTAACAATCGTCACCATACATCGCGGTATCACCTATATAAATTTCACTGACAATTTTGAACTGTTTTGATTGTTTAACTGAAACGTCAGCTAATCTAAACTACACGAACTCATCGAATAGAGCGGAATCAGCAGCAAGTCGCTGGATAGTGACGACTCTATCCTGGCCTATCTATGGACTGTGGCATCGAATCTCGTTCCGACGCTCTCGATTAACGACCAGATTGGATCCTAGCCCCGAATCGCCCCGGGTACAGATGCATCGATTCGATCCACTGCCATTAATTTCGTCTCCGGCTCTCCTGATTACCTTGCGCTTCCCGGATTACTCGGTTCTACCGAGCCCACGGATACCCGTGTAAGTCGAAAGAATCTTCGAAGGTTCGGTCTGACCACAGACTTATTGTGACTACTAGCTTGAATTTCTCGCCGCCTTAAGCTTTGTGCTCTTAACGCTGTAAGAGCAATTACGACTGCTTTATTTATTGCAGCCATTCCAAATTGGTTAATTCGTCGTAATGAATATAAAGTATACATGTATGTGTACATGTATTATAATAGTATAATATATGTTTTGAATCAATATATTCTAAATATTATAACTTCGTTCAGATATAATTCTTTCAAGACACAAAACTGAAAATCTTGGATGTTAATTTAAAGAAATAATTTATTTATTACATATATATTATATTATAATTAACTTTATCATTATTAAAATTAATAATTATGTAAATTATTGTTAATATATTATTTTGCATGTTTTTTTAATTTATAGAATATTTCTATGGAAGATTGACATAATATGTTAAAAATGATTTATATTGATTAGAATACATATCATCCACGTGAAAAATTATTACGATAAATGAAATACATCGGTTTATAAATAAATTTGTAGAATTTATTATTATAGTAGCACATTTTTATGACAGTGCTGACACCTTTTAGCGTACTCGGCTAATAGTACGTGCATTTTCATTGCAGCATATCGATAAAGTAACATAAAAATAGAATTGTACGTAAAATTAAGACAAGTTTCTGCAAAGTACTAATTGACCGTACGAGCTATGACTCTAATTGATTTAATCAAAATTTATAAATAATATGCTATGTTAAGCATATGAATGTTCTTATAATACTCACATTTTTGCGAATTTTTGGAAATCTATCTACTCTTGATTTGAAAACTGCATGATATACTGGACACTTTTCATCTATTTTCTTCATTACTTGATAATCATCTATTACCATGTATTCATCATCGTCGCTTATCGATAGCAGTGTTTTATAAAATTTTATGTAGTCAAACATTTTTCCACGTTCATTTTTGAAACGCTTTGCGGATTCAAAAGCCAAGGTTCCGACATTCGTATGGTAATCTGCAGGACCTGCAATATAAACTTATGATGTACTTGTAATACAAATTTATGTCTAATGTGCATATTGAATAAAAAATTTATTATAGTTACATAATGTATACCTGGTAGCACCTCTTCGATAATTCTCTTGAAACGATCATCGAAAGCACTAAACGGTGCATGAAGAATAGAACCGTAACAAATTTGCGGAGCCATAATTTCATAAGTTCCAGCTCCGGGTGTATCTGGTTGAAAATTCTCCTCGAATCTCTTAAGAGAAGAAGAATAAATCATAATTGTGTTATAATAAAGCAAATATATCGTAACGTTTAATTATTACCTTCGCAGATTGATTGAATGGCGGCGATTCTATCATAAAAGGATCACATTTACACAGGTTACGTTTGTATTTATCAAATACGCTCTTTGGTAAGTCGTAATGATTGGGAGCTGGAAAGTTCTTTGCGAAAAAGTAAATTTCCATAAGGCGATTCTCACAGATACAAAGGCAGTTTCCCGGCTCGGAGTTTTCGCGAACGAACCGGCGACTGCGAAAGTTACAAAGCATGTTCTTAAAATTACTTGGCGTAATTTTTGCTGGTACAAAGCTTCCAAGAAACGCGGCTGCTTAGCGGCGGCTCTTTTCGCTTCCCTAGTTCTCTCGTCGCGGATTTGGGCGGGACTTTTCTTTGTTTCATGCTCGTAGTCCCCGGGACCCGGGGTCACGGAAGTCCGTTCGTCATCTCTACCCTTCATTCTGCTCCAAAAGTTTCCTTTGTACTTCAGAGCGGTAAAGTTTGTCTCCTGCGGTATAAATAATCGTTCGCGAGGTATTTCACAAACGCAAGCCATTCAGCACTTTATCCATACCCCTCGAGGAACATCGTAAAAATCGGTCGGCTTATGCTCGATGACCGGATTTTTTACAAGTACGCCTCGTTCATTGTAGTCGTATCCGCCAATGTCACGTTTCGAAGGAATGGCAAGGCCTGTCGTGAGCGGTCGCGGAGGACGAATCAACCATAGCTAATAAATAGTTACAATAGATGTGTTATTATGATTGAAAGTAGTAATCATTTTCTTATTTCAAAAATGAGACAACTTAAAAACGTTATAGATAATTACCTTGTCAATTATCAAAGATAAACTAACTTAATTTTTTGTAAAAAGATATTAAAATTGTTTGAGAGGTTTAATTTTCAAGTTTCATCACTTTTAAAGTAGAAGAGCGATATGATTGTACATTGAAATTAAATATGTGATCATAAATACAGTATAAGTATATACTTTGATTAAAAATTTTTAGTAATAATGTTAACAATATTATTTATATTTATAGAGTTATGAACATAATTATTATTATTAACACTAACAATAAAAATACCAAAATGGAGTTTGTAACCATAATTATTTTAATTTAGTGCAATTATATTATAGTCACAAATATCAAACACTCTCTCAGCGTATAATATTTTCGAATATATATTTGTATAAGAAACCAAAACGGAAACATATATAAATTAGAAAAATACTTCATTTACTTTGCCTGCGGTACCACGCCAAGTACCCGAATGAGATCTTATTTTTCGAGGAGTTTCCTTAAACAAATCATTCGGCAAGATATATTGTGTTGGACTTGGTCCTTCATACACCTTTTCTTTAAATCTAACATCGGTATAATCAAGACTAATGCCGCCCTGTAAATTATTGAATCTTAGAGGATATCGAATATTTGCGCATACCCCGATGCGGAAGAATTGCAAATAAATGAGGCGTGAATAGGGAAAATGCACGTTCTGGTATACGTTTCCGTGGCGCTTCTATATTGTAAGAACCAGGACCTGGAAACTTATGCACATCTTTTGGTATGCCGAGTGTCTGCCTGCTAGCTCCGCTCAAAAATGGATAAGCGTTGTCTGTGGAATGTAGTCTATGTTACGTAATGGTATACACGACGCGTGCGAATGCAAGTTTTAGAAAGAATTTGCAGATGTTGTGCATTGTAAGTTACTCAGATCTCGAGCTGGCTTTGATGGGTCCGTTATATCGTAAGTCCCTGGGCCCACTCGAGCAGGAGTTGACGTAGCTATTTCCATGAATCTCTCAGTCCTATCAAATGCCATGCTTTTGTATGTACAAATGTACAATAAGGAAAGGAAAACGATTATTTAAAGCGATTTATAACCTAAACGAATAAAAACTGATAAGAATCTATATTTGAGAACATATCGCGATCGCAAGAATAAAACAATATAGACTGTGCTCCCAATTCATTGCTAAAAATCTATGTATATCTATAGTTTGTGTCGTGTTTATCATAGATTCTCAACACTGACAGTAAATTTTGGAATACAGCTTTAGGACGAGTTCAGACTTAGATAAAAAAGCAGAAAACAGTAAAGCAGCCAATCTGCAGAATTCGCGCTGGTAGTCGCTGGTTTCGGTTTTCTGTACTGCTTACTGCCATGCTAATTCCATCATATTTACTACCAGCGCAAGTTTTGATTGGCTGCTGCTTTCCTGCTTTCTGCTTTTCTGTCTATGTCTAAACCTACCCTTACAGTTAAATTTATTCATAATATTATTAACGAGGATTATAACGTAATAATGTCGATTATATGTTTTCACATCTATGTAGTGCATATTGTGATCTTGTACATCTGTAATTTCATACACGATTAGATAGAAAAAATACTATTTAATTTATAAATACATGGAAAGAATAGTTTTACTAAAATATTAAAAAATTTAGCTAGATACAGATCACTGAAAATATAATAATTTCGTTAAACCATCAAAATAATTATAGGATGCTGAAGCTAGTTGCTATAATGGTAAAACTTTTTGCGGGAGTAACATCAATGCTTAAGTTCTACATAATTATTTTGATGGTTGAACAAAATTATTACTATAGAACTTGTTATATAATAAGCTAACCGTTTAACTTGTTAGTTGAATATATGTTTAGCTTATTATTATAGGAACTTTAGTACATCCAATATTATAGAAAAGCGATTATAGGGAACAATAATCGCTTTTCTCAAAAATATTAGAATATGTACTAACTAAATTAATTAAAAAAATATTTTAGTACTCTCTCTTCTAAATCGCATATCGGGAATTTCTTATGTTTAAATTGAATATCGATTATGACCTGCGATTTCGAATAACGATTTATCTTTAAAAGTATAATTATGATAATAATATTTTTTATGAACATTTTAAAACGTCACAGCGTTAAGAAATTTTCCGCGCCAAGTGGGTGCGCAAGATTGAACAGCCACGTGACCGAAATTTGATTTAGTTTAGCATCGCACCTCGTCTATGCGTAATCAAAAGGCAACAGTTTCATGTTTCCGCCGTCTGTTCACTACGTCTCGGTCAAATTTCGCGTTCGAATGTTTGGGCTGTTTGGAGTATCAGATTCAGTGATGGATCGTCGGAGTGTGATAATCGGTCCTTGTTACCGCCATCAGCGCATATCTCGGACATTCGTGATCGACGTCCGTCGTGTCGTATCTCGTCCGTTTTTCAGAAAATGTGCGGGCAACATATTTCTTCATAGTTTAGCAACATGGAGCGTAGAGGAATAAGAATAGAATCAACAGAGGATTATTTAATACCGCGGGAGATCGATCGACGCGCGTTTTATAGCTATCAGTGAGTTCTCGCACGTAATTTTTCATTCGACTTGGGTTTTTCCATCGCATGTTGCTTTGCTGCACGTTTCCCTGAATTACCTGAAATTATCGGCGCCCGCCCTCCTCCGTCTCCCTGCCGCTTATCAACGTTCTGTAAACACTTGAGCACTTGGGCAATGTTAACAATTTAAAACAATCTGTGCGTCAGATCGCTCTTTATCTGATTTCGGTGAAATAATCGGCACGAATAATTCCATAACAAGTCACAGATTATGGAAATGAAATGCCTAGAAATATTTAGGATACAGACAGCACAGGAAATCCATTGGACTTGGTTTCAATCCAAACGTCCATAGACTTACAATTAGTACGAATATTTCCAAAACGTACGTTATTCAACGTACAAAGTACGTTTACATTTGGAAATTTAAAAAATGTTCATCTCATGCAAAAAATTTTTTACGTTTGCTTGCGACCTGTTGCTTTTACTGACTTGACAAGTGAAAATTTTTTTAAGATCGCACAACGACTTTTATTATTTTAGGTAATGAAAATTTACTAAATTAAAGCTTAGTTCAGCACGCAGCAAACGGCAAGCGTCGACTTGCAGTGATAAGAGTTTGGAATCTTTTGTTTCCAGCGTCTAGTCTGGAGTGTGATTTAAAATTCGTTTAATATATTAATTTAATCTAGTTTTAATCCATTATTGCATCCTAAAATGGACGTTTTTAAAAAGTCCAAAATGGACTAACACTAGATGTATATTGTATATATATGTATATATATATATATATATACAACGTTTTTAAAATATCCATAGATCTAATCTGGATGTTTTTAATATGTCTAAACTAAAACATCCAACATGTACCTACGTGTTAAATTTTTAAAACGTTACTGTACTGTCTGGATTTTGACTGAAGGGCGGACGCAGGTGGCACAGTCACTGCTCACTTGGCTCAGTAGTCATTTCATTATAGAGGGTCGTGTAGATAGGTAGCTGTACCTTATTAGCTCTACTTATCATTTCTTTTTAAACGTATTTGTGATAAATATATTAAATAATACGAAACGTTGTACCTAAGATTATACAAAAACTGACTTAAAATATTAAATTAAAAATAAGAGTCAGAAAAAATTTTTTATTTTAAAATAACAAATACTAAATAACTGCTCAATTTTTTTATTTAAATAATTCAAATACACTCTAAATACACAAACACATTATATAGTATAGAGAGAGAGATAATTAAAAATACACATATCAAATAAAATTGTTTTAAATACGCGCGCGCGCGCGCGCGACTGACCGCTGGCTGACATAACTTATTTAAATTAAAAAATATTTTGACGCGTTAATATTAGACGATTAGTGAAAGCTTGGTGATTGTTTTGATGTGGAAGGGCGGACGCAGTCACACAGTCTCCGCTCAGCTGGCTCACTGATAGACCGAGTATCATTCCATTAGGATCGTATAGATATAGGTAGCTGTACCTTAGCTCTATACTTATCATTTGTATTAAAAATATTAAAATACTGATTGTAATAGATACTAAATCATTTAGCATTCAACCAACATTGTATATACATTGAAGATTATCAGCTATCTTTAAAAGTATCTTTTATAACTATTTTTTTATTTAAAATGTATTGTATAATTGTAATTCCCCCTCCTCCAAGGAGAAGCAATAAATATATTATATCATACCATTTAAAATGTATTTAAGAATTTTTTTGCAAATATATTTTTTTCATAAAAATTTTTAAGATATATTTAATAAAATTCTAGTATTGATAGTCGATAACTGATTCGAAGTGATTCTAGAGCTCTGCCGTCAGAGTACGCTATTGGTATTGTTTAGCTGGTCGTGTAAGTATTTCGATCCGGTCGATAATTCATTTCTAGGATGTTCTTTTTCCACATGGAAACGTGGTCGGGATCGCCTAACAAAGCTGCGTAACCGTTGCTATCTGTAGTTGACAGTGAATTCTTATTTAACGTGACAGTTATTGCAGCATTTTACCACAAAGTGAATGTAACGCGCGCAAATCTTAACGAGCAATGACGAAAACCGACGACCAATTTGATGGAATGTTGCTGGCATTGGCACAACAACATGAAGGTGGTGTTCAAGATGTAAGTAGTTCTCTTGCTTGAGGTTATCTCACGCGATGAAATATTTACATTTTCATAAGTCTGTCTAAAAGATACAAAGCTTCGCTTTTCTTTTTTAGTTGCTGGATACTTTCTTCAGTTTTCTTGCGAGAAAAACAGATTTTTATACTGGTGGAGGCGAAGGAGCAGCTGAAAAGGTAATTGTGTATGCAAAAGGTAACAAAATATTTTTTTTTTATTATCATTCAAAACAGTTTCAATTTGACCGTATTTGTCCTCTTCATGTATAGCTTGTAATGAGCAAATTCAAAAAATATGAAGCTGGTGCTCTCGCCAAAGTTGCTTCTGATAAAGCAGACAGAGTAGAACAAGAGAGAAAACGTAAGGAGAGACTCGAGAAAAAGAGAAAGGAGGAACAAGCAGAGGAAGAAAAAGTAGACAATGATTCTAAAATAGTTGAATTAACCGATGAACAGGCTGTTAAATTACAAGAAGAAATAGATAACAAGGTATTTATGTAGTAAAATATTGTGATTTTTATTTCGCTTTATGATTTTTCGATCATATTTGAAGATAATCGGTGGTTGTTCAAATAAAATTATTATCACATGCTGTTTGACATATGTTCTGTTTTTCATTACAAATACTGAAAATCTATAGTTCACATATACTGTACACTTTCAGTATTTGCAGTGAATGGTGTTGCTATAATGTTAAGATTATATATGTATTTGTCTATCTGCATGTCTGTATGTCAACTTGTCAATTTTAAGCTCTTTGAATCAGCTGTTCTTATCTATCGATTTTTAAGGTATGAACGATATTATAAATTTGTATAATAATTAAATAATTTTTTGTTATACAGAAATTAGCAAATGCTGCTGTGACAGGATCTAGCAACGATAGTAGCGACAGCGCGAAGAATGACAAAAGTACCGATTCGAAGAATGGCAACGTATCCGATGAAGAAGAAGATGAAAAGGAGAAAAATAAATTAAAGCCTAACAGCGGTAATGGTGCAGACATGCCGAATTACAGATGGACACAAACTCTTGGAGAAGTGGAGGTAAGTACCTAGTGCTAAATTTTTTATGTGATAAACTGCACATGTGGTGAGCCAAAACATTTTTTAAAAATATTTATAGAGGTTATAAAAGTACTTTCAAATATCTAATTTTTGTTCTTTGTTTATAAGCATCGATTTGAATTTATTTTAATTTCTATGGCAGCAGTTGATCGAAATATCTGAATTATGAAAAATAAATGGTAAAGCTAATAGATTATTTAGTAGATAAAAATGCTGATAGAGACTATTGTTTTAGAGAAATCTTTTAATTCGGAAAAATGGTATATCGTACATTCTTAAATTGCACGTAAATGTTACATATTACATCGTAAATATCATCGATTTTCGCGTTCAAGCCACTAAATAATTATCACGAAGTCTCTAAGCATAATAAAATTTATATAAATTTTAAGAAATTTATAAATTTAGTCAAAAATTTTGAATTAAACATACACATTGAAAAAGATTGTCATCGTTGTTAAATTTAATTGATCTCGTTATATTCTACTTCATATTTTGTACTTTTACTTACCTTATAATATTGTATTACTCTTCAATTGTTTTTTTGAATATCAATATGCTGCAAAAGGCAGGTTGAAATGAAACAACATTTAATATATTTGACAGTTTCTTGTTGAATCGACGATTAATACGCAAGTAATATCACAGACGCGAAAAGCGATCGACGCGACCGCCTTTCATTGCTTTTCCGTTTACATTTGCTTTCGGAATAACAATCCGACGGAAATCCAGGTATTATTAAGGCAGCTTGTTAGTAAAAATTAAATTACAGGTCCTAAATAGGTATTTACTATCTTGGTCCCATCTCGTCGATTGCTTCAAACTGTCCGTCGGTAGTCGTTATTCAAAATACTATCAGGGCTTATGTTCTTAAATCTATATCACATACAAAAATTTATAGTATATGTAATAAATACTATATTATTTTTGTACAAGATATTTTTTTCGAGAATGAAGCCGCAAATTCGAGATTTCGTTGGACGACTAGGATTAGTGACACTTCAGTGATATTTTATCATGTATCTCTTCTCTATTATTTGCTCTCGATATGTCAATACGATTTACAGCAAATGATAAATCAGTTGAGAACTACGTAGGAGAAGCGTATACGAAAAATACGTTTTATTTAGAGCAATCGTAAACCACGTGATGTGTCACTGTCGTCCGTAACCCCTTACCACATATATCTTTCTATGCAAAAAATTATGCGGCGTGCAGAGAGAGATGTCATAACCACACAGTAAAATAGTGAAGAAATTTTAGAGAAAGTTGCTTGTGCTCTATATGACACGCGCTACGCGGTAAGAAGTTAATTATCATAAAAATATTTACGTTATTCATTGAATCGTGTCTCGCAGTACGATCCGAAGAATCCGTTAAGTTCCAGCATAAATACGCAAAGCTATCCCATCGCGAGGATCTCGTCAATCCTTAACCGTACGTCGCTCATTACACAAATGTAATTACTTGATTTCACGTACCACACTTTTGTCGCGGTGCAATACACTTAAGACTCTATACAGTATACGCTTAAGACTCTAACCGGGAACGTCTACTAACTGAGAACGGCCTGAATGGCTTACAACGCAGATGTACATATACGTATAAATATGAGTAAGTCAAATTAATATCGTGACTGGGTCGTACGTTTCTCCTCTCTCTTTCATCTTCGTGGAGATGATTTTTCCCGTTCTCTCTGCAGTAATCATATCCTTCGTTGCTTGTTTCTATCACTATGATCATCATTCACGGTCACGTGTCGTCGCCGTTTCTTCCTCCCCTCGCTCACCCTCGGCCTAGTTGTACTTGTCGCGAGCCCTCACTGCAATCAGAGGTAAACATCAGCGAGGAAATTCGTAGATAGTGAATCCACGGAGATCGTGCACGATGTTGAAACACAGTGGATGTAGCAATAGCGACTGCTGCTGTGGCAGATACTCACTTTCCATGTAAAGAATCCCAGCGAGCAGACCGACCATGAACAGAAAACTCATAGTGCACACGAGAACGGTGAGTTGATTTCGCGCGCACCAAGACTTCCTGTAGACAGTGGTCGGTCTGCCGAGACCGTTCACGACCGTGAAGTGGGTGCTGCTGGCCACCGAAGCAGTGTCCATCTGCTTTGGTGATGTTACCGTGGGCGGGTGTATGGCGGCGAGGTTCGCCAGATTCGCGGCCGTGAGTAGCAACGTTCCCGACGCGGCGCTCTGTAAATCGTACCATCGAAACATTTGATTAGAATTTTATAAGATCCGAAAACTCGTTTCTGAAGACTATTTGTATCTCGAATTATACGTAACATAGAAAGCTGGACTTATCTTGATATCAGGACTGTCTGGCAAAAGACATCGCATTAATTATATGAAAAATTAGGTTTCGATAAATTAGTTTTCACTTAGGTATAATGTAGCTTATAATATAATGAAGGAAAGTTGTCACAAACAACAAGACTTGATGGACAATTTTTCAGCCATAGTGTATCAAAAGTGCTCTGTGAGTACAAGTTTTGCACTTTTGATACATCATAGTTTAAAAATTATCCATTATTTCACAAACTTTGTGAATCTGTTTTTTTATCACATTATAAGTTACGTTATAAAAACTAACTCTTTCAGCGGTATCCAATTTTCCATATAATTTAGAGTTTATTATATGAGTTTTGTGAGTAATTAAAATTATTCGCAGAATTTTGTCATTGACATCCATTAAACTTGAGAAGGGACTTGAGAAAGGTAGTTTCTCAGAATTTTCATCGAAGTTTTAATACTAGAGTTTTATGATTAAAAAGGGGATTTTAATTAAAGAAGTCCATTTTAATATTTCTGTGAATGGTCGCGTTAAGGAGATGAAATTTACGTGTGTACTGGCGGTGGATCCTTGAGACGACGTCGACCCTCTCGAGGGGGAGTTCGGATGCAAGTGATGAGCCCAGCTTCCATTTTCGCTGTCCCTCTCGCTGCGTCCGACCAAGGACGGCCTTGGGATGTGCCAGGAAAGCGGGTTGGCGGCAGCTACCGCCGTCGTCTCGATCTGAAACCAACGTAAATCGACGTGAAGCTTCGATTGCATAAGCGATAATGCCATGCCGATTGCAGTTCTACTCTCTCGCCCGCATGTCCTCCACCTGCGACCGCGTGTCGTTTATCTGTCGCCAGAAAACATTACTCTACATATAGCTACGTATCACCGATAAATGCATTAAACGCGCATTTAAATGGGCAGACTTTTAGACAACGAAGAAATTTAACGAACCCTGAAGATCGTTTTATTTTACACTGACGATTAAATCTGTTTATATATTCTGCCACGAAAGAAGAATCAATGTATTGTGTGACGTAATTTCAAGCACCAAATCGGGATTGACTTCCTATTGGTTTCCAATTTCTACATTTTTCATGCAAATATCTGTTTTTTTTTTTGCAACTTTATTACTCAGGGCATATTTATCCGATTTGTCACGCCCCCCCCCTCCCCCCCTTATCTCGCCTCTAAAAGGTTATCGTAATTGGTTTTTATTTTTAACATAGATATTTTGACGTGTGAATGATCGTATAATATTTATTTGTTACATCAGTAAATTAAACTGGGAAAGTTCTCGAACGCAGTCATGGAAAGAATGATTTTGCTAAAATATCTAAAAATGTATCTAAATATAGATCCAAAAGTAATATTATTGGACTAGCAAAATATTTATGTAAGTATCTCAATAGGATCTCAACGATTAATGCTGCAAAAAGTTTTGACATTCTAATCAGTTTGAGTGTCCTTATATAATTAAAATATAAGTAAAGTGTCTATTTTGATGATCCGATACAATTATTTTCAAATCTGTACCATAGTTAAATTTTTCCTTCATACTTCAGCAAAGTCCTTTTCGTCTACATTTTCTTCAATATCAAAGCAGGTATCAGTCAATTCAAAGTTACGTGTTGTGTGCGGTTGTAAGTATATTTAGAAACAATCTCGGCCAAGATATACAATACGTGCTTACTATTATTTCAATTGATTAATTGAGTGATTAGTGTGCAATCTTCGCGCATTCTTGTCTCTAGCATCAGATAATATACGATTTCACCGTACGGATCTCATTCAAGAATCTATCGTCTCATATTTTTTTATCGAGCGGCACCAGGATGGTGAGTTTCGCGAAAGCATCTTCTGCTCCCACTCTTCTTTTCTGCGAGAGGAAGATTGACGAGAATTTCGGCGTCTCCTGGGGGCGTGGAGCACCTCGACATTCCGGTTTGATCGTTGCATAACGCTCGTTGCACTCTCGAATTCCGCGCGGCGTCGTCGCTTCGCGCGTCAAGTCCGCCGTTGTTGTTTTTGCATCATTTTCGTTCTTCTTGCAAAAAGATGAAAAGAAATTCGTCGTCGTCGTCATCATCATCATCATTATTATCATCGTTCCTTCTCCTGTTTCCTTTTCGTAACGTACATATTTGGATGTGCACCTGTTGTACCTCATGATCGTTCGCACAGTTGAGCATTTCCGCGACTTCGCGCTGAACGGAGGCGATGCGACACGATGCGATATGCTGTGTTTACGTACGCATGCCGATTACGCCAGTTAATTGGCTATTTTTGCACGTAAATCAAGTGCATTTCGCATCGGTGTGGCCTACCTTCGCGATCGGGCGCCGCCCAAGGACTGCGCCCGCTGCAGTAAGACTTGAACGAGTATGCACGTTCTTTTTTGACGTCGGTTTTTCAGACGCGCACTCGCGCTCGTCCCGACCGGTATGACGACTCTAATGAAACACCGCGTAATGTACATTCCCGAACAAATAGAAAAGATTTAGTTGAATTGCTGAAGCTAGTACGGCGCTAAGTCGTACGCAATAGAGGCAAACCCCAATGTAAGACTTATTTTTATTTATAGCGTTGATTATTATTATTCCTGTGAAAAATTCTTACCTTGTCTTTTAGAAATAGTATGTGCAGAACGTAGTTCAAAGGCTACAGAAATGGATATTAAATTTTCTTAACGATCGGTAGCGATCATTGATGCACGTCTATTGAATGTGCTTCGCACAACTTAATGATATTGACTTTAATTATATACGGATTATTCCAATTTATCTTAAGTCATTGTTCGCTATATAAACGACTGTGCTAAATTAGAAATCAATAATGAGAGGCATATAAATTACGATGCGATATATGATTGATTTATTGCACTCGTGTCACGTAATTAACTGTAACAATGTTTATCATCATTAGAATTCCAATAATCAAGAAAAATCTTGAACCTATCAAGAATTGTATAGGTAGTGAATGTTAATGTAAATGGATGTGAGTAGATTGTACATTCTTAAATTCATAATGTCTAATTATATCCAGCATGAGTCATTTTTAATCATATCTTTAGATCGCCAATGATTATACTCAGTATATTGTTAATTTAACTAAAGCAATAGGGTTAAACAATTTAACCGAAGAAAATTTATTTTATTTAATTCAAATTTAATTTATTATTTATTAATAGTGCACGTTAATATAGACGATGTTTGCTTTGAAACTAACTGCACGTGGATTGATTTACATTTTGACACAGATGGAAATTAAAAATAATACAATGTTATTTAATTCAGGGATTGAGTTACCATTGCTCCTTTGATATCCAACAGTGTAACAAACACATATCATTATAGTATAATAGTATTATAATATGTGAATAAGCTTATCTATTATACATGGAATTCGTAAAGACATAAGATTTTATACATTTTATTAAATAATGTAAAATATGGAGCGAATAGACGGTATTATAATAAAACTAGATAATTTAGGTAAATAAAAAATATTGCATATTTATATTATATTTACACTAATAAAAAATATTTTATATCTATATAAATATATCTACATTCACAAAAATGTCGAACAAAGTGTAATTTTATGATGAAATTATTGAAGCCAAAGGCATCGACGATGACGAATTCTTCACGAGTCGATATATCAAAAAATCTTCCATCGTGTAAAAACGAAAGATGGGGAGAATGCGAATAGCAGAATAAGAAGATGAGAAAGAGATAGAGAGAATTACGACATTTACGGTGAGGAGTCGTTAGGAATTTTTGTGGAACTCAATACACCGGTCAGCCTCGAAGCGCCACACCTGTGCCATACCCATGTAACATGATATTCTGAAACGGATTTTGAACTCCGTATGCGGAGTTTGCGTTTAAAAGATGCCAAATTGGACTTTTTTCGAAAAAGAAATTGCAAGGCACTTATTTTTCCAGTAATATAGATATTTGTTATATCAAAATAAAGAAAACGAGTTAGATGCCTTTTTTTCACAGAATCGTAAAAAATGCATACATTTGAAATGAAAACTCCTATTAATTTTATAAAAAAAATTTTTTAACTCTGATTATCTTTTTTTTTTTTAAATAATATTCTCTTTCATATTTATGATAAAATTCGCCGAGATAGACATCTCTAGGATGTTAGCCTTCATATTATGGCTTCATTCACATTTACTCGATTCCATTCATATTTACATTCGCTATGTACACAATTCTTGATAGATTTCAAAATTTTTCTCAATTATTCAAATTATAAAACTATGAAAATTAATTTTATAGTTTCTAATTGTAAATTCTAATTATTTACTATGCGTGAATAATTTTTCACGGAAATCTGGATAATAAAATCGATACCTTTAGAAATTCGAATTTTTTTGTTTTTTAATTTGTTTTTTTTGTTTAAAATTTTTTTAATTATCTGCAGGAATTTTTTGAGAGATCTTGGTATATTTTATTAAGAATTTGAAATAGTGTTCCAAAAATTCTATTAAAATATATTTTTAAATTAATCTTAATTGCTATAAAAATCTTAAATCTTTTTGAATCACAAAAACAGAATTCGCATTTTATTTTTATGCTTTTAGAATTGATTGAAATTAATTTTAATTATTTGAGAAATAAAAAGCGTTAGTACTAAAATTTCCAACATAAGACTCTAACACTTTTCCAGAGGTAGAACATCAAAATAATATTATCAGAATTTGCGTAATATTTGAAAAGAATGGCGGGATAATAATATGTATCATCTTACTGGTAGTTGAAAAGTAATATTGCACACACGCAGAGAAATTTTGATCAGAATGTCCTTGATGTCTGTGTGATTAAGATACAACATTAAAGTTTGATACTGGTGTATATGTCGGGCATTATGAAAATGCATGCCCAGCGCTCGGCACTCCATTAATTGTGTCGCCAATCGTTTAAGGCGGCACTATTTCTCATTTCCGCGATCTTCTTGGATAATTATGCTCTCATCGTGCGAGCTTGTCGTTTCAAGAATGTAATAAATGCGATCTTCGAGGTGAGCTTTCATCAGCAGCAAAGGTGAATATAATTATCGATAGAGCGTTATCGTAGTATTTGGAGCAAGGTTATTTTAGAAAAGGTTTATTTTAGAAAAAGAAAAATCTTTTCTTGTTCTTCATTGAGATTATTGGGCTATGCTCACGGGAATGTGTGATTATAGGACAAATGTCAAATGCTATAAAACTCCTTGCGCGGTATTAAATGCTTAATAACGGTTTATAACGTCAATGCCGCATATGGCACCGCCGTAATCATCGTTATTGTCCACCTCTAATGTAAACGTCCTCATTAAAAGACAGCACTCGATGTACTTGCCATTAACGAAGATCCCTATACCATCACGTACGACAGTGGAACGGTAGTGTCGGTAATGAACGTTACATTACGCTTTTTTTTCTGTCTATTGTTCACGGGTCTATGAATAATCCATTGACATTATGCCAAGTGTACATCATTCCATTTGACATCCCGTTATTGTAAACGACGCCAAGCGGCTCACGAGTTTCCTTCGTGATCCTATCGCGTTGCCTTTTTCCTGTATTATGTAAGGACTCTTTGTAAAAAGAAACCAACGCACAAGTTGGAATTCAATATTGCCATAAGGCATATATCATAGATTGACTCATTAATTGTCGACATTGTTGCACGTTCACGGGCAAAACTTTTGATATTGAAGACGCGGAGGAGCTA